TGACTGGTAGTCGGCTTGATAGGGGCCGTTCCATGACTGGTAGTCGGCTTGATAGGAGCTGTTCCATGACTGGTAGTCGGCTTGATAGGGGCCGTACCATGACTGGTGGTAGGCTTGATAGGAGCAGTGCCATGACTGGTGGTAGGCTTAATAGGAGCAGTCCCATGGCTGGTGGTAGGCTTGGGCTGAGGCGCAGTACCAGTAGGAAACTGGATAGGAGGAGGGGGAGGCGGGGCCGTACCAGTACCCACTGTACAAGAATTAGAGACGATCATAAGCAGTAGGGGAATTGGGCATATCTCTTACCAGGGTAGTTGGGGCCGACGACGGTTTTGATGTCAGGCTATCGAAGTTCATGTCAGCATGTGCAAGACAATCAGTGTCAGGATGAGTTCCAGCATACCTCTCCACCGCGGGCAATGACTCCTGCCAGAGCCGGGCCAGCAAAGGCCAGTAATGCGACACCTCCCTTGACCATTTCGATTATCGATACTCAGACCGGTTAATAAAAGCGAACACCACAACACAACTTTTTAGGCGAAACGAGTGGAAATTGAAACAGCGAGTGACTCCCAGATGTAATACGAAAAGGAAACGGAAGCATGTCAAGGAAGCAGGGAGGCCTGCCCTTTAAATCTTTCATTGTTGAATCTTCCAACCGTTTCCGTGGCCATAGCTCGTGCATGATGGCGATAATGCCACAGTAGGATCCAATGAAAAACAGATCATCGCGCAATAGACGCTCGGTCCAGGAGAAAAAAGCTAGATTTGCTGCTCAACGCCAGGAGCTAGCAAGCTGCGTTGTAAATTAGAGTTAGGCAAACCATGGATTGTGAAGGAACCGATGTAATGGGAGAGGGAAAGTCCTGCCTGGAGAAGTTGTTGGGAGTGTCGCATTCCGTCGTATCATTAACATCAAGGCCCACAATGCTCACATCAGGGTCTTCACGATGCAAATTTGGAGAGAGTCCAATAGATGAAAGAACATAGTGGTGGCGTCATCACTCCAATAGAAAATTATTTCTCTGTATCACAGGAACTTCCTCGCACCGATAGCCCTACGTAAAGCTGGTGAACACCACCTATAGAATGAAGGGTTAACGAGCGGCTGACTATGCTCCATTCTCACAGATGACAACTACCATGGCATTGACGGCATACGTCCTTAGCAATATTGAGTACTCTGCTGTCCCTCAAGCTGTAGGGTCCCATAGACTCCCAAAACATCCGCGGGCTTCGATGGGATACCCCGGATGGTGGATACTCAATGGGTACTTCTGCAACGTTGCATTTCATGGATAAAATTCAGGGCGGTGGGGAAAGCCCTGGAACTTCAGAGTAAAAAAAACAAGGAAGAGAAGAATCAAATCGAGCAGCTGGGGATGCCTCCACAGCATGTTGAGGCTGCTGTGGGTATCGTCTGAGAGTAACTGGCAAGCATGGGGGATACCCTTGAGCTCACTTTGGGGGAGACCAGTTGTTACCACACAAGGATCCAACTGGAGTGGCTCGAGTCAGGCTGAATCAGCTAAGACATCAATGAGTCAACAAGATGGTGTAGCCGGATCAGGCTAAGAAGGCCAACTAGAGGATATAGATAGATTCAGTGTGTTGATGAGAGCCTTCAGGTTCCATAGGGCCCGAAGTTCATCCTCATGGGTCAGGGCAGTATACACGTCATCCACCTTTGATTACGAGAAAAGTCCAATGAAACAGCGTCAGCAGATACCGCAAACGGCCAGAACTCTGCCAGGGTGTTCCTGATCACGCAGGGGTGGACCCAAAGATGATGAGGTTGTAGCAGGCAAAGAAGTGGTTGTCGTCGTTGAGGCCATACTTCGGTACCTTGCTGAGTAATCGCCGTTTGCGGATGTAACCACTCACGTGATATGTAGCTTCTTCCGCCCCGAAGCAGCAGATGAGGTAGGGCTTAGGGCTGCCGGGGAACACGCCGATCGCGTTGGGCAACGCGTCGCGACGCGTGGGTTTAATGAGTTGACGATGATGGATGTGGATTGAAGCGCTCATGCAACTCACCACAGCTTAGCACTACGTCAACATTCGGAATGCCTCACTCAGTATCTTCGCAGGACTCATCTGCTGATCGCAAGGATGATGAACTTATGCCTGACGCTCCTCCTACGGAGACAGCATCGGCAAACCAGGAGGACAATGCAGCCGCAGGAGTGAAACTTGAAGACCTATTTAACGATGATGACGATGATGAATACCCAGCCTCTAGTGCACCAGAGACGCAAAATGGTGCTTCATCTGCTCCGGAGTAAGTATACATGCTGCGATATCTCGTAAAATAGAGCATTAATTTAACTGAGATTAAACAGACCTGCTGCTGCTCCGGGGCCCCAGGTTGATACCGATACAATGCTTGCGTTCTATCAACGCCTCTTTCCTTTTCGCTATCTTTTCCAATGGTTGAACCATGGCATTGTCCCATCCCCAGACTTCGGAAACCGTGAATTCGCCCTTACCCTCCAAAACGATGCCTACCTGCGGTACCAGTCATATGCAACTGCGGATCTGTGAGTCCAAGAGTCCTCTATTGTCATTTTTCAAGGTCCTAACGTTTCCATATCATAGGTTCCGTAAAGATATCCTGAAAATGAACCCCTCTCGGTTTGAAATTGGGCCTGTCTACAACACGAACCCGCGCGACAGGAAGACGCTCCGAGGTGGCCAGATGAAGCCGATCGCCAAAGAATTGGTATTCGATATCGATCTTACGGATTACGATGACATCAGATCCTGTTGTGAAAAGGCAAACATTTGTAGCAAGTGCTGGGCCTTTGTCACTATGGCAATGAAAGTCGTCGACACAGCGCTACGTGAAGATTTTGGTTTCGAGCACATATTATGGGTCTATTCTGGTCGTCGTGGTGCCCACGCCTGGGTTTGCGACCCCCGTGCGCGCAGCCTTCCAGATGATAGGAGAAGAGCCATCGCGGGCTACCTAGATGTCATCCGAGGAGGAAATTCGAGCGGAAAGCGGGTCAACCTCAAGCGGCCTCTGCATCCCCACATGTCTCGCAGTCTGGAGATACTAAAACCATACTTCGCTCAAACTACGCTGGTGGACCAGGAAACCTTCTCCAGCTCCGAGCAGACGCAACGTATTCTTTCATTGTTGCCCGATAAGGGATTGAATGAATCCTTACGGAAACGATGGGAGTCATCACCCGACCGCAGCAGTGCCAATAAATGGGCGGATATCGACGCCTTGGCCAAGACAGGCAAGAGCAGCACTCTCAACCCTACTACACTACGAGATGCAAAGCAAGACATTGTTCTCGAGTACACCTATCCACGTCTGGATTCCGAGGTCAGCAAAAAGATGATCCACTTGCTCAAGAGTCCATTTGTCATTCACCCCGGCACTGGTCGCGTGTGTGTTCCGATAGACGCCCGAAAGGCGGAACAATTTGACCCTCTCTCGGTGCCTACGGTTACGGAGCTACTTGCGGAGATCGATGCATGGGATGCGGAGCATCCGAGCAATAATGCAGGTCCGGAAGTGGCGGATGGCGAAGGCAGTGTACCCGAATCTGATGCTAGGGGGAGTCGCAGACTGCAAGACTATGAAAAGACGAGTCTGAAGCCGTACGTCGACTACTTCCGCTCATTCATTGCCGGGCTTCTGAAAGAAGAGCGGACGGGCAAACGGGAAAGGGCCGACGATGCGACTGAGGTCAAGACCGAAAGCATGGAGTTCTAGACATTCTCTGCCAGTTCTATGTTGCGTGTTTGGCTTTGATCGTTGATTCGGATTAGCATGTCGGATATGATACATTTATGGGGAACGGGATTGGCGTCATCGTGCATTGCAAAGGCTGGACACGCTGGAGTTTACTTTTATTTTTCTAGGTCACTGCAACCTTATTCATCATTCCGTAAATAATCAGTTTTTTTTTTTTTTTTTGTGTCATATTCTCAGAACTGTTCCTCGGCACATAGTCCTGACTGTCACCCTAAGCTTCTTCAATTGGAATGCGGAGCTCCGACGGGAAACCTCATGTCAGCCTCAACCCCGCGCCGACGATGCTCTCAACTCCTTAGATGAGAGACCTTGGCTCGATCGTAAGCTTCAATCATCATGCCAGGCAAACATGGCAGCAGACAACACCACTGCCAACCCGCTAGATGAGCGGTTCGAGACCCTCGTCCAAGAAACATTGGACTACTGGCACGTCCCAGGCATTTCAATCGCAGTAGTCGATGGAGACAACACCTGGGCCAAGGCAGGTGTCTCATACATCCCCAACGATCGAGACAACATACAAGAATAAATTATTAACCGATAAACACAGGGCTATGGCATCGCAGCCTTCCCCGCTGAGCCCGTAACTCCCTCTACGCTCTTCTACGCCGGAAGCACCACCAAAGCCTTCACCGCAGCCCTGATGGCCACCATCGTCGAAGATGACGACAACTTCCCCCAAGTACACTGGGATACGCCCATCAGCCAGCTCAACCGCGACGACTTCGTGCTACATGACGAGCACGCATCCGAACACACCACCATCGAAGATGCCCTATCTCATCGCTCAGGCCTCCCCCGTCACGATCAAGCCTACGGCAACCGTCTCACCCGCGACGAAGCCGTACGAACAATAGTGCGCCAGCTGCGCCATCTCCCATTGACCGCCCCTCCGCGCACCAAGCTCCAATACTGCAACCTCATGTACGTCGTCGTCTCCCATGTTATCGAGACCCTCACCGGCGGAGAATGGCTAGGCGACACCCTAGCCCGCACCATCTGGCATCCCCTCGGCATGAAATCTACCTACTTTAACCTCAATGACGCCAAATCATCCCCTCACCACCTGGCCCGAGGATACTACCATACCCCCAGCGACGGCGACAATGACAATGACAGCAACCACTACAACGAAGTCCCCTGGATGTCACTAGACGAAATTTCCGGCGCCGGGAGCATCATCAGCAACGTCCTCGACTACGCAAAATGGGCGCGCGCATTACTCTACCAAACAGAGCCCCTATCGCCAGCCGTATACAAAGCGATCTTCGAACCGCGGACTTTACTACCCTCGGAGGAGCCGTTCACGGGCCCGCGCGCATACGCTCTGGGTTGGTACACGGGCGTGTACCAAGGCGTGCAGTTCTTCGAGCATACGGGGGGCATGAATGCGTTTGGGGCGGAGGTAATCTTGTTCCCGAGTTTGAAATACGCGGTTGTCATGCTGGCCAATACAGCCGGGACGTCGAATTACGCGCAGAAGGCGTTGGCGTTTCGGTTGGTGGATGAGAAGCTAGGTGTGCCGGTTGAGAGGTTTGATTGGAATGCGAAGTATGTTATAAAGCAGAACGCCGCTCGTGATGTTTTTAATGCTAACAATTTTTTCTTTCCAGGAATATGGCGCATATAGAAGAGGAGAGGAAGAAAGCCCTTGATGCTATTCATAAGGCTCCCGCGCATGTGATACCGCATTCGTTGGAGCTAGGGGAATATGTGGGGACGTATGTGCACCCGGGCTATCAGACTGTTGAGATTTACCTTGATCAGTCGAAAACTATATTGCGCGCTGACCGGGATCGTACGACCTGGCCGGAGTATCTATCCTTTAAGCATGTTAATGGGGAGCATTTTCTCGCTATATCGGAGCATGTTGGAGACTTGGGGGCTTCTTTTCCTGATGTCTATGCGGCGGAGTTTCGCATCGGGGAGAAGGGGAAGCCATGCGCGCTTGGGGTAGCGTGGGAGAAGACTATGAAGGAGAAGATATGGTTTACGCGGTTGGATTGATTGTTTAGAGTGATTTATGCGTGTCTCGATTTAGAGAGGGGGAGTATCAATCATTTTAACAGTGGTACCTTGCGAGGTTCAACTGAGCATCTACTATTAATATACATGAGCACACTGCAGAAAACAGTGGCAGAATTATTGAAACATGATTCCGATATTTTCATGACGGATTGTCATAACCGTATTAGATTTTAAAGAACACCTTCCATGTTTAAGCGGAGACGAAGTTCTTGACGTCTGTGGAAAGTGTTAGCCAAGTATCATTTGTAGGGATCTAATAGGATGTCACGTACTCTCGAGCCAGCGAACGTACTCCTTCTGCTCCTTAACCTGGATGTAGTCGGGGATCATGTTGGCAAGCTCGGCGTTGATGCCCCTCTCATCGAGGTAGCGCTCGAGGAAGGTCTGCAGGTCCTCATCGAGGTTCTCGAAGGGAGGACCAGCGTACATGCTCTGTCTGGTCCAGTCCTTCTCGGCAGTCTGGGCGTGGGCCAGGTCGGACTTGTTGAAGTAGGAGACCTCCTCGATCTGGAACAGGCCGTCCTGAGCAACAGTCTGGATCAGGAGGGCGCCGTTGCTGGGCTTCTCAACGGTGATGTTGACACGGGCAGGGAAGCTAGGCTCAAGGTCGCGGTCCAACTCATCGCCTTCGCGGTCAGCGGGAGCGACGCGGTCCTCAGCGTGCTGAGAGACGTTGCCAGAGCGGCCCTGGTTGACGGGCTGGTGGCCTCCGAAGTCCATCTCATCGAGAGCAGCATCATCGAAGTCCTCCTGCTCGCTAAGGTTCTGAAGGTCGGCGACAGTGAAGGTGAGGCGGATCCTAATGATTGAACGAACAGTGAGAAGAAATGTCACAGTAGAGGGGGGGAAAGATTAGTAACACGGGTACTTACTCCTCGTTGCCGAACTTCTTCGTCAGGACAACCTCCTGCTCACCAGGGACGTCCTTGACCTGTTCACCAGTATATTAGCTTTGATCGACGGCTTATAGGATATCCAGCGAAGAGCGTACCTCCCAAGAGTTGTTCTGAAGAACATACTGGATGTTCTGAACGGAGGACTCGAGGTCCTCAAGGCCAGAAGCCTTCTCGTGCTTCAGTTCGTCCTCAAGCTTGGCGACGAGCTCAACATCGCCTACAATCATCGAAAGGCCCATGTTAGCATGACTTTTCCATAGATCCGCAATTGACAATTGACAACAGGGTTCTGTCTCATTCTGCCACGAGAAAAGAGTAAAGCACAAAGACTCATTCAATCACTGTTCTCCGGAAAGTTTTCCTACACAAGCCAATAACTCATATATTCTTACCTTCGGCAGGGGACTGCTTAAAAGCGCGGGACGTCGAGAAAGCAGCATAGGAAGGTCTCGTAATCTGCTTCAGAGAAGACTGGAAGGCATTCTTGGGGACCGCGGACACCGGCCGGGAAATGGCGGAGCGGGAAGAGACAGCGACAGAGCGCGAGATGGTGCGAGGCACGGAGCGAGCGAGAGTGCGGAGGGACAACATTTTGAAGGATTGAGGATGAAAATGGAAAGTGGCAGGAGAAGAGGAAGAAATGGACGGATGATGAAGAATCGGAAAAGAAGACAAGCTGATGATGGATGATGTTACCGCCCGCCAAGACTGGAGCTCTGCAATGAACTGCCAGGCCAATCACCGGTCGCAATGCGGGACCCTTACCATCCATCGCATTTCGGCATCATGAAGTTACAACTACGTAGTCATGGTTTGGATGATACTGTAATGAGAAGCATTCTGGTTACCCTCGAGGCTTTAATGGACATTATACAGCTACAAAAAAATGATTCAACAGCTTTTGTAAAAATCTATGTGCAATCGTAACGCCGTTATGCCATCCATCTCCGCGCATACTGCGAATCTTCGATCTCCCAAAATGAAAACGCAGAAAGAAAACTAGAACTTTTTACGTCTCATGACATGCCCTTCGGCGGGAATACTGAAGGTTGTTTCGATCCATCCTTAGTGATGCGAATGAACTTCATCGTGCTCAGTCCAGACCAGTCTCCGTTCCACGAGGCGAGGGCTTTGAGAACACTCTCGTCGCTAAAGTCGGGCATCCAAAATCCCGTCTTAAACTCGCGATTCTCAACGTCTGTTCGCTGCAACAATGCTTCTTCGCGCTTGCTGGGTGGTCTGCCTTTCCGTCTCTCGCTCTGTAGTTGTTCAATCTCGGGCACGCTGCGGTTGATGTACCTATAGTTGAAGATCGTAAGTATATGCGATTTTCGCGATTGACGAACAGTGCGGCGCACCTGACAACGATGTCCTTCATTTCATCCTCTGACATCGGAGCTTGGCCTTCTGGGACACTCTCGTGGAAATAGGCGATACGTTCCACTAAACAGGAGAAACATTAGTTATCGCAACATCGAAGCACAAAATCCCAACGAGAATTGCCGTACCATATGTCTGTCTGGCCCGCGACATATTGGCGGAGACACGAGCGACTCGATCTTCTCTGGCATTGGCTCGGCGCAGTCTTCTGGCATCTCTGCTAAACTCGTGGAGAGCCTCAACAGCGCCTCTCTTCTTGGCAATATGCTTGGTAACTTTCTGGAAAGTCTTCGGCATGGTGGGCAAATGGTTTGATCGGATTCTTGGCTCCTTCCACAACGAATGAAGAGAAACTTTTGATCCGACAGTCAAAAGTCGAATTTCATCTTTTGCGGAGGATTTCTTTTTTCTCCGGCAGAATCTAAAGGCGGTGATATAAGGTGGCGGCACCGCCTCGACAAGACCAATCAGGGGAGCGGATGGATGGGGCCTCCCCATCGCGTTCCTTGCGCGTCAGAGGGACCAGGGAGGTAACATTCCAATCTTGTTGTCTGGGTCATCCTCATTTCGCGACTGTTTAGGTGCTGGTTAGGCCTGGTGCATGCTACCGAGCACTGATGTCCTCTAATTCCCATGTCCGTCGTCAAAATTGACCTCTAAGCACCAACAGACACCAGTTGATGTCTGTTTCGGCGGTGCTACTTCCCTGAACGAGGAGTATTCGGTCTTCTAAGGACGCTGACAATGGGCATTAAAGGTATGCTTCTTATTGCCCTTGACTTGCGAAGTGCTGCATTTGCTTACACACAATACAGGGCTTCATGGCCTGCTCAAATCGATCCAAAAACCATGTCACCTGAAAAAGTTTAGTGGGCAGACCCTGGGAATCGATGCATATGGATGGCTACATCGAGGCACTGTCGCCTGCGCGGTGGACTTGGTTTTGGAAAGGCCTACTAGGAAGTACGTTCATAGCTAATAAGGCTGTATGTCACCATCCCTTTCTCACAGTATCGCAGACACATCGACTTCGTCTTGAATCGAGTCCGCATGCTCCTCTACTTCGGGGTAACTCCATATCTTGTATTCGACGGCGATGAGCTGCCAAGCAAGGCTGGAACCGAGGTGGAGCGTCAAAAGAGACGGCAGGACAGCAAAGCCCTCGGTTTGGAACTCCAGCGAAAAGGGCGGATCGCAGAGGCATACCAGGAACTGCAGAAGGCCGTTGACGTGACGCCCTTGATGGCGCGGGAGTTAATAGAGGAACTGAAGAAGATAGATGTCCAATATGTTGTGGCTCCGTACGAGGCAGATGCGCAACTGGCCTACCTGGAACAGCAAGGCATTATTGCTGGTATCATTTCAGAGGATTCTGATCTGCTCGTCTTTGGTGCAAAGCGGTTGTTATCCAAGCTCGACCAACATGGCGACTGCATTGAGATCAACCGTGCTGACTTTTCGGCCTGCCGAGAGGTAAGTCTGATCGGGTGGACAGACGCCGATTTTCGAAGGATGTGCATCCTCAGTGGCTGCGATTATCTCCCCAACATTGCACGCTTAGGATTGAAGACAGCCTACCGAAGCATTCGGAAGTACAAGAACGTAGAACGGGCGTTGCGGATGCTTCAGTTTGACGGTCAATACCACGTTCCCTCCGATTACCTGGACAACTTCAGACAGGCGGAGCTTACGTTCCTCTATCAGAGGGTATATTGTCCGAAAGCTGGGAAACTGGTCACCCTAACACCGCCTGAGGCTGATGTCAAGTTGGAAGAACTCACGTTTATCGGTGGTGACGTGGAACCTGACGTTGCGGTCGGAGTTGCTCGTGGCGATCTCGACCCGACGACAAAGGAACGTCTTGTACTAAAGCCATCACTCGCAGCTAAGCCGGCCGATAAGAGGCTGACCAACACGATAAGCCGTCGACAGACCCTGGGCTCGTCTGCTGAACTCAAGCCAAACAAGCCGATCAACTCCTTCTTCACCCCCAAGCGCGTTCCCTTGGCAGAGTTGGACCCGAATAGTCTCAGCCCCTCTCCCAGCCAACAACGGCTGCTACAACGCCATGTGAACAGCTCTTGGGACAGTGTTCCTGCACCATCACGGCCAGCACTCATGCGATCTGCGTCATCAGTCGGGTCGTCAAACCGGGCTTCTAGCCCTTTGATTAGAAGTGTGGAGCGTAATGCCTTCCTGGCACATGCCTCCAGAACATCGAATTTGCAGCCCGCTAAGCGGCAGCGACTATGTTCTGATGCAGAGGAAGCTAACCTCCCGAATCCCCCGGATTCCCGCAGCAGATTCTTCTCCGGCAGTGTTAACGATGCTAGTCCAAGCGCACAGAAGGCTACCCGCACCAAGAAGGCGCGCAAGTCTACCTTGGACGTCTTCTCCGATGACTCTGCAGAAGACCTCATGACACAGCTGCCAGACCCGAGCCAAGCGACTGAAACTCCAAATCGTGTTAATTCATCCTCCATCGATGACAGGTCCATTCAAACGCCTGCTGCAGCTACTTCTGAGCTGGGTGCTCCTGAGTCCCCTGCGGAAGACTGCAAAGAGCAAACTCAAGAGCAGAATTCATCCACTTCTGAACAAGCTTCGGAGAAGAGATCGGATGATGCTGGCGACGGCTATACACCGAACCTTTTGCCTGTCGCAAAGTCTCCCACGCTTTCAAAATACGTCTTCCAGGCCGGAACTGCTGGTGTGGGTAATCGAAATGATAAGCTTGGTGGTAAGGGTCATCAGTCAGGTTCCTTAAATGAGCACAAGGCGACTACCGGAGTGCGGCACGGCTTGTTGGGAACACCTCCCAGACGTCAGCGGACGACGCCATTG